CAGGCTGGGGAGCGCTGGCTGGGAAGTGGAGTCCCTGCTCTGGGCTGGCTTTGAGGTTTAATTTATATTGGCTGCAAATGGGTTTTTATTCCCCTCAGTTTTGTCGTCTGTTTAGACAAATGAGGAAAAAGACTCCGTGCCAAGCAAGCTCCCAGCATAACTGATAAGAGCTTGAAACCGTCTCCCCTACTGACTTTTGCCTCCAGGGTTTGGCTGGAGCAGTCTAATGTACAAGTTGCACCAAGTTGTTAGGACCACAGTGATTTGTCACCGTTTCTTGTTCTAGGGAAGCACGGTGGTTCTGGGGTTGAGTGGTTGTTTTTAGACACACACTGAAAACAAAGATGTGATTAAAAGCTGCATGACACTGATCTGGCATCCGTTCTTGATCGTGAACTCAGATTGGGCGCCTTGGGCTGCTGGTTTTGAAGAGGCTCTGAAAGTCGTACAGCTGCACCACCTAATGCACACAACCCGCCAAGCCAAGCAGCGATGAGGGCCAGGGGGCACAGGCTATCCAGGAAGTGGCACCTCCCAGCTGGCCAGTACCAGACCCACGTGCTAGTCACAGGGCCAGAGCTGCTGGAAGTGCTTCCCCTGGGATCTAATGGGAGGCCAGTAAAAAGCCCAATAGGTACACTTTCCGCAGGAACCAAGGAGGCAGCCCTTTGGGTCTGGCTAAATTCCAAATTGGGCAATTCCACCCTGCTCTCTGCGCCTTACCTGGGTGTAGTATTTTCAAGACAGCACCTTAGCATGGGACATGCACGTGCTGTGCCCAGTTAAGCTGCTATTTCACCCTAGAGGTGGCTGAGCGTCTCTTAGCCCTTCCCAAACTAGGTTTTATGCCGCGTTGATGCCGTACACTCCCCCCAAGGCATTCCCTAGACAAGTCATTACTTGGAAAACGGCTCCTCGTGCCAATTTTCTGTCTGTCACCATTTGGTAACAGCACTCAAAACGAATACTGCTCTTTTGTTCACTTCATTCCTGATGAAAGCACAGGTTTGGGAACAGAAGTTGGGGGTTCTCTGCTACAGTAAAGACAAGGCAGGAGACAACTGTTTCCTTGCTCCCATAAAGAAGAAGTGTAGCCTTTAAGGACACATTCTTTAAACATTTTACAACATTGTCTGGGAATGCTGAAAATAAAGCTCCTACCAACGCTGCCTTTCCCCTTGGCAAAGGTTCGTTTTTATTTCCCCCTAGGGCCTGAGCAGAGCCGGAATCCACCTCCCTGGGTGCGTTTACTGTTTTGATTGTGCACCCGTATCAGTGAGGTCAGCCAGCTCTGGGCCTCGCATTGCGCAACCAAGTACCCTATAAGCCGTACACACCCCATTGGAGTCCTATTGAAAGTGGCTAGTTTTTAAAAAGGATCTCAGACCGCCATGGAAAAGGTAGAAGACTCCTCTCAGCCTGAACTGTACCATTAGGGTACTTCACCACCTACTTTCCTGGCCCTACGAAAACTAACCTGAGCATGATCAAGTTAACCCTGGAATTCCTGTTTTCAAAACAGCTCCCTCGTGCGCCTTTACTAAACAGCCTGGGATGAGCGGCCCCCACCAGGCTCACATGCAATCCACTTGGGGTGCGACAACATTTAATGCGACTTAAAACTTCTGGTAAAATTAGAGCCTCGACCACAACTCCCCTAATGAGCTGTTGTGGTCTTGATTTTGCAAGATTATCCCTTCTAGAAACCACCAAGCCCGCTGTGGGGGATGTCAAATACTAAGACACCTCAGTATGAAAGTTTCATCTGGCCCACTCTTTCTGACACCGTTTTACACTTTGAAAAAGGCGTTTTCCTTTAAGCTCTTGACCAGTTTGCTGCAAATCTTAGTAAGGCAGAGCTGCCACCCGGGAAAAATCTTTTGGACCTTCCCTGTAATCTAGTATCACGGGCCATTGGCCAAGGCAACCTGTGTGTTTAGGGCTTAAGTTCGTTTCCTGAGTAGAAAGTTGCAGAGCTGTCAATTCCAATTAGCCAGAAGTCTATTTGCCTAGTCACAGGGTTTCTAAGAAATGAAGCAGCCCCTTACACTTCCATTTTCTATCTCAACTCATTTCCTTCTTTCTACCCCTCTTTATGCAGCCAGGCCAAGGGTGATGGATCCAAGAACCTGACAGTTCATTTTTTTGCACCCAATCACCCCTTCAAGGCCTATTAATTCACATGACAGCAAGACTCCAGCAGTCACCGCCACAACTAACCAGCAGGGAAAGGCAGCCTGAAATGAACAAGCTGACTTGCCACTGGACCAGGCGTCCTTACAAGGAATTGGCCGAAGTATGGCGTCTAACATTTCGGAGCACACCACCCCTCGCTCCCCCAAGGACAGTCACCGGTAATCGGTGCTCCAGGGCAAAGCCCTACTCAGCGGGAACCCAGCTAGGAAGACAACGAGGAATCCGGTGGCACCTTAAAGACTAACAGATTTATTTGGGTGTAAGCTTTCGTGAGGTTTTTTGACCCATGAAAGCTTATGCCCAAATACATCTGTTAGTCTCTGAGGTGCCTTGTTTTTGTGGGTAAGACTAACACCGCTACCCCCTACTACTTGACAGCTAGGAAGCTTCTTCCTATGGGGGCGCATAGATGCCATTTCCACCATGGGCAGGAGGGGGCGCGCTTGACACACATTACACCTCCACGTCACTTGCAGCTCAGGGCAGCGTCTCCTCCCTTCTGCAACAAGTAGTTCAGGTCAGGCAGAGGGGGCAGCCTCCTTCCCTCTGCCTCGTGAAGCACCCACCAAACCCGGCTCCGAAGGCAGAGCTCCCCCCTTCCTCCCCCAGCAGGAGAGACACAGCAGACACCGTTCCTGGCACAAGACTTTACTGCACACTGGAATGTGGCGCCTCGAACAAGGGGGAGGAACATTGGGCCCAGTATAAACATAAATAGAGCAAAAACACTTCAAACAACAGAACACTTGAGCTTATCGCCTGGGGCCGCCCCAGGCCCGGCTCTGCCGAGGCGGAGCCTGGGGAGCTCTGCAGTCTCTTGATCCGTGCGCTCGGAGCCCGGGGGGGCCGAGCTTGTCCGGGCCCTGGCGAGGGCAGGAGTCCGCGCCGCAGCGCTCGCTCGGAGAGATGGGTCCCGGCTGACGGAGCAGGGCCGCTCCCGAGTCTGGCGGCGCCCGGCGCCGCGCCCCCGGGCTGTCCGGCGCCGCGCCCC